TAGGACAGGTGTTGGCAACATATTCAGTCAAATAACAAATTTGACAGATAGATTGTAGATGAAGTTCTTGCACAAAATTAAGATGGCACCTCATTGGATTTGGTTGCGAGCGATATCGTTGAGTGGTGCATGGCTTTTCCAAATAAAAAACAAAAAACAAAAACAAAAACAAAAAACACCAAAAAGAAAAAAAATGATTTATGAAATTGTAGAAGAAGGATTTATAAAGGGCAAACCTAATAACAAAATATAAAAGATATCTTTCTTTATGACTTTCATTCAAAGGAAGCTTAAAGAGCATTAGAACAGAAAAAATAAGTCAAATACCATCAATGTATACCAACCAGTAAAGTTAAGATGATAAGATTGCCTTAGGTTGCAAGAAACTCGAAACAAATATTACCTTAGATTTTGCAATCAAATCCTTGAATCAAGAGAAACCACAATTTTCTTCAAGGGGTGTGGGAAGGAGTTTGATTTTGGAACCCAAAATTTCTAAAAAATTGATAGTAAAAATCTAATGGGTATTTATGTTTTTATTTTAAATTATTAAGTTTTCATATCCGATTTTTTTATAAAAAAAGTTCATTTTTTCAATTTTTAAATTTAAGTAATTGAAATTTATCACAAACACTTAAAAAAAAAAGTTAAATAACTTTTCTTTCCTAGACCAATAGAAATGTTAACTTGCCCATTTCAATTCTATCCAAACCCTATCAACACTACGATATTTTCTGAACTTATCCTCTAAATCAATTTATAAACAAAAAGTTGAACCCAATTCTAACCACATCAACTAAGAAGAGGCTAACAGAGTTCGTGGGAAGATTAGGCAACAAGAGGTATGCTATATATATTCTCTTCAATTTTTTAAGATTTCAGCCAACAATTTAACAATAAAATAAGTCAAACATTTATACAGAAATTTTAAGTCACCTAAATGACAAATCTTCCCCTACAATGGACATCTCCTTATAATTATTATTATTATTTTTTTTTTGGTATCACCACCGTTGTTGTCTCCAACGACAACTTCTACTTCCAAATAAGGCTTCTTTTGTTCATCCCTTTTGTTTTTAATCTATGATTTTGAATTCAAAAAATTTGATGGTGATCAATCTATGGGTTTAGAGTATTTTTTAGCTTTAGGTTCAAGAGATAATAGGGGAGTAAATTTTATAATGGGATTTGGGGGATTTTTTTTAAGAGGTGAACGATGGAGCTAGATGAGGATATATTAATCAAGGAAAAGAGGAAGAAAGAAACTAGTGAAGAGTGCATTGGAGAGGGCAGTGGGTGAGGGAAAAGCAAATTTTCGAATGCTTGGATGGTTTTTGGTTGATTTTAAAAAGGGAATCAGTTAGGCAGGGCAAGAAAGATTATGGTGAATAAATGATAGGAAAGGCAATTTTTTTTTTAATTATTTGATTTTCAAACAAAAGAAAGAAAAGGAGGGCCAAAAAATAAATAAATAAAAGTAAGGTATCTGAGTACCTATTTCAACATGGAAATTAATTTCCATAACTACTTTGTGTTGTTTAATAACTAATATTAGTTACTGTAAGTAGAGAATATATTAGATTTTTTTTCATTTTTTTCTTAAATTAATATTTATACTATGGTCTAGTAAAGAGAAAGATTGCCATTGATTTTTTTTATAATTTTTAAAATAATTTTAGATATAACTTAATATATGTATTTCTCCTATATTTTTCTTAAATTAATATTTATACTATGGTCTAGTAAAGAGAAAGATTGCCATTGATTTTTTTTATAATTTTTAAAATAATTTTTTCTTTGAATATTATTCATAACAATTACTTTTATAGATTATGGAAATAGAGAATGTGAATGTTGCATCAAATGAAAGTAAAGAACAAGTTGATTCAGGTTTAGTTTTATTTTTTTTTTATTTTTTGTTTAAAAAATAGTTGATTTAACTTTTTTTATGTATTTTTGTTTTAAGTTTAAATAATATCTTATTGTTATTTTAAGACTTTGTTCTTTTGAGAAAAAAATAAACATGGGCTATCAAGGAATCTTGCTTTAAAAAAGAAAGATAGAGAAAAGTCAACCTTTCAACATTCAATTTCTTCTTGAATTTAAAAAATATGTGGAGAAGATGCAGCCCTTCTCAAAACTAAAATTAGCATATGTATTAAACATTTTGCAAAGCCTTGTTTGAGTTGGAGCAAGTTTGAAGAGAATGTCAAAAACATTATAGGGACATTTTTTAAGATAATACTTTGGACAATGATTGGTACACACT